GCAGTGCACTTAAACATAGAAGATGTAGAACAAACTATGCGACAATTCCACAACTATCATAACAAAGAGAGTGTGTGAAACAAGACAAGAACAATGGGCTCTGATGACCTTTCGTTAGAGTTAAGAATCATCAACGGAACGGAAGATCTTTGAAGCTCAAGCGTCACTAGTAAACGATCGTAAAACTGGAGGTCTTTGGAGGAAGACTAAGAAAGGTCTTTAGTAGAAGGAATTTTGGTATATAAGTTCTTTGCAGCAGGAAGGAGGACAAAAAACTCCCCAGCCGCAATAAAACAGTTGCCCAAACAAACTGGTGACCGCAGTATTTCTGAATCAGTGTGAGAACTCCTGCCTCTCAAATCCATAGACCTAACCAAGCTCGAACCTGTTTGGAAGGATAGTTAGATCGGTTCACTAGATGAACAGAAAAAAATAAGCTTGAAAAGAAAGCTGCATTATAATTAATAGCGAGACTACTGGGTTTTCAATGTATACTAGTATGCATAAGATAGTACGTTCCTCAGCTATTTTGTATATCAGACTAATCTAAGAAAAGATATAGATGCATTAGCACGTAAGGCATAAATACCAATACTAACCTAAGAGCCTTATGCGTGTCTGAAAGTATAGCGTCATGAGCTACGGTATATAAAATACGTGTTCAGCAAGGTATACCACGAGTTGGGCATCCTTAGATATTAGAAGCTTTCATGACAACGAAGTTTGATATAGATGGAAAATAACAATGTCATAGACCTGGTGCTCTGATTAGAGGTGTAAATTAATAGCTTTCCCGCATTGGTATGATATAAAGCCAATGAAGAGATTACAATTGGATTAAGGACGTGGGTTTGGACAGAAAATAATGATCCAGGTCAGCAACTAACCAGAAAAACGATGGAGGGGATATCGCCGTCGTCACCCAACGATGAACCCAACGATGGCGGTAGCGAAGAGGCCAAGCAAGAATTTTCTTACTGAACGGCGCCCCAAGGACTTTGGATATATATGTATTTGAGTTGCCCATCCCTCAGAGTCATGATGTGGACTCCCTCAGTCAGGAATAGAAACAGCTGTCAATCAACAGCTTGTGACCACAGTAACCATATACACCACTACGTGAGTACCCCGGTCCCTCAAGTTATACAGGCTAGTTTCTTACCTTTGAACCTAGCTCAGGAGGTTGTAGAATCGCTATATCTGGTACGTCTAAGGTTTGGCTGTTAGTAAATTAGAATATAAGCAATAAGACAATTGATGGTAGGCTGATATACGACTTAAGATAAAAGAGTTAATATGACGATTTATCTAGCTTTTCTCAGATGCGTTCAGCAGTTCAGGGTTTAGGATCTGGGAGACAGGGGTTCTGACACAGACTGAGCATCATTGTCACCAGCCGATTTGTGTAGCTGCTCGTATCGCTGACCAAGAAGCTCTTTCTCTCTTCTATCTACAAGGAATCTATCTACCATACTTACGTCTCTGGCTTGGTTTATCTTCGTCTTGCGCAAGTGACACCCCTAATCATACCAGTCAATGAGAACTCATTCATCAATTCCGGTTTATTCCTTTAAGTAGTTTTTCTCAAATTTTTAAAAAAACTCAAGGGGTAACAGCTATGTATTAAAAGCCTGCAGCGTATCACTTACCCCAACTTATTATTACTCTAATTTTCGGCCACATTCTACCTTACTGGGGTACCGGGCCTTGCTCACGGCGCCAGCGGCATAGTTATACCATCTGTAACTACTTGAATCCTGCGCAAGGGAAAGTGTGCTGGCAGAAATTTGAGCGTAGTTTAAAGAAAAGAAAGAGCGCCTTCTTTGCAAACAACAAAAAGGAGAAGTTAGCCATTGGTAAGCCTGTGGGAAAACAATGCCCGCCGGTGTTGTATGCACGGCCCAGTACCCCACTAGGGTAGAACTGGACCGAAATGTAAAATCATCATCATCAAAATTTCAAGTGAGTCTAACTCCTCGTGTTCGTTTGCTCTGGCAGCAGGTGAGGAAAAAAAGAAGAAACTGGATAGATGGGCACTTGCTCTAGTATCAGCGGGTCGACTTACGTAGACTTGGTTAGGCACTACAGGCATCTAGTCTTAGTCTTACACGGCCTTGTTCCTGGATACTTAGGTATCTTCCCTTATCATCGGGGTGCTCATTAATAGCTTAGTAATTAGGCATCATTGGTTCCTAGCATCTAGAATCTGTAGTAAACTGTCTACATAAATTAGCATACTTGGTAGCTCAGCTGGATAAACAAGATTATGATGATGATGATGATGATGATTATATTTCCGGTCACGTTCTACCCAGCTGGGGTACTAGGGTCACGACTCCATGCATGCTGAGCGTGGTCATCCATGTAAGCGAAGGCAGCACCTTGGGACGAATGGACAAGAGGGAGTGTGAAGAGCACGAAAAGAATAGGGGACCAGGGTGAGCCTTGAGGGAGACCAGAGTCGGTGCGGAAGGTCGAGCGAGCCCAACGGAAAGAGAACTTCGAGCAGCGCAAAAGTCTGCTGCTAGGCGAGCAATTGTCTCAGGCCAACCTTAAACAAGATTAAAGAAAGATACTTTATCAACTATTATCGTTTACTGAGCCTTTGAATGTAGGTTAGGACATCATCTAAGCCTAAAGTTCAAAATTTGATTGGAAATTGTAGCCATGCTTCGGCTCTTCCTTGGTGTGATTACGTTGTTTCTTATATTACTACGCGTTGTAGTAATTATGCTTTTGATCTAGTTTTTAGTAGTTTGGCCTTTTTGTATATAAGACGGGAGAACCACGTATAGAGGAGTCTTTTGAGAGTAGATGGAAAATCTTTGTATTATTGTTATAACCTTCATTTTTAGGAGCTCTCAATACATAAGACTGATTAAAATATCGGAATTGAATAAACACCATGTTTCATATATGTTACAAAAACAAAATATGTTTAACATGATATAATACTGTACTGAAGTCTACAAGACTCAAAATATCATTTACTACTAGATTAATCTACCTTGTGAATCTTTAACTGATTGCAATGACTCGGTGTATACTAGTAGTGCTACTATATCTTACGTTTGTTTCGTTATTGGAACTACTGTAGGCAAATATAACTCTTTTTTTTCATTCAACCGCATATTTCGAGCTCAAAACGTCTGGATCCGATGTTTCACATTGAAATCCCGGAGAAACGGGCTGATGACAAGTGGCTACTTCAAAAACGATCAAGAGCATCAAAATAATCAAGTAACCACAAAGCTGTATGCATCTTTCGTCAAAGTCTCTAAACCCTCTCAGATGGTATAATAGCATGTTATGGCTATAAAGTGAGGTATGCATACCCAGTAGTATCCTAGTCCGTATTACCTCCTCTGGGTAAAACGCGGCCGAAAACTAGAATCATCATCATCATCCTAGTCCCTATAACGCCTTTCTCTTTTCCTTTAAATGACGCGAAGGTTTTTGTCATTAGGCTTTCCCTTGTGCAAAATTTTGTAACTTAAAAGTGGCTATAGATAGTATAACTATGCCCGCCAGCGTCGTGAGCACGGCCCAGTACCGCAGTCGGGTACAACGTGGCCGAAAAATAGAATCATTATCATTATTATAGATGTTTAACTATATGGTATACCAATAGAAGAATCGCTGATATAACTGGTGCATTTGGATCACTTACTGTTCTACGTACAAGACTGCTCCCACAATGCGTACAAGCATTCTGTTCAATCTTTGCACTCAGTTGTCGCTTATGTTGCATTTTGGCGTCATATTGTAAACCTGTGCTATCTATTTTGCTTAACATTTGATAGGTGAGTCTAGTTCTAATCTTCCTTAGTATCTCTGTTGTTTCTGTGCTTTTGCTGTAGAATAACTTTAACTTCTTTCCAAGAATACCAAAATAAATAATTATCATCCTCTATTACCTTGCGCTCTATTTTTATCAGTTCATTCTCATGTACTATAAGTATCAATTAGCATCGTTAGAAGCTAGAGCTTGCCTGTAGGCATTATAGAAAGATTAGTCTGTATCTACAATATAAGTATTTAATCACTAAAATAAAGTAATACATATGCAAGTAGTATTAAGTCTATATAAGCCTATAAGAGAATGACACGACAAACAGTATGTATCAAGCGGAAGAGAAACAAGGGATTCTGACAAAAGGTTGTCAAAATTAAGAACTATCAACGAAAAGATCAACAGAACTTGAGCGTCACTAGTGAAACATCGCCAAGTTAAAAATTTTGACGGAAGACTGAATGGTCGTTGGTAGAATTGACAAGAAAAAGATTCTGAGTATATAAGGTAGAGAGATTCTTCGCAGCAGGAAGAAGGACGAAAGAACTCTTTGGTCAGCAATCAGTTGCCTAAACCAATTGTTGGCCGCAGTGCTTCTATATCTGTGTGAGAACTCTTGTCTCTCGGATCCATAAGCCTCGAACCAAGCTCGAACCCATCGAGGCAAGATTGGTTGGATTGTTACATATGCTAGTATAGTTTATTATTCTGTTTCTATAAAAAAGTCTGATGACCTGTTGTTAGAAGTATTCTCTATGTATAACTTATATTGTGACGATTCGACAACCTTCTGAGATGGGTTGGAAGATTGTAACCTGAGGCACTGCACGGCCCAGTACCCCAGTAGGCTACAACGTAGCCGCAAAATAGATCATCATCATCATCATCCCCTGAGGCACTGGGGTCCTCACACAGTAGAGTAGGTTGTGAACTGCAGTCGCCAGTTGCTGGTTGACAACAGTTGACGTTGCTGACTGTGGAGTCCTTATCATGGCTGTGGGGATGAGTAATTCTATATCCGTGCTTATATTCGAAGTCGTTAGTTTGTCTGTTCTGCTGCCATTACCCGCTTTGGTCTTATTGCTGAGTTTTCGCAGTATTGCCGTGTATCGCCATGCGAGAATTGCGCTTCTCCTTCCGAGTAATCTTGACCCCACCCAGAACCTTCCATCGGTTCCCGGCTACGCCGTCTGTCGGGGTGCGGGGGGGGGGGGTGGCGCAGTTGGAGTGTATTGCGCTTGGAAACACCTTCTGTGTCCCGGCAGGTCGTCGGTTCGAATCCGGCTCCCTCCACCTCGCACTCACCTGGTCTTTGACCACAACCAACCCGACTTCCCCGCCCGGGCCAGCGGGTATAAGCTACTCACCAGAGCTTCGACCAGCTCAACCTTCCATCTCCTCGCTTGGACCCCCGCCGTCGTGTGGGCACGGCTCAGTACCCCGTCTGGGTAGAACGTGGTTGAAAAATAGAACCATCATTATCAGCTCGTCCAAGAGGGGATGATAATGATAATTTTATTTTTCGGCCACGTTCTACCCAGAGGGTACTGGGCCGTGCCCACACGACGGCGGGCATAGCTATACTAATCATAACTACTTACAGCTGAACTCTTGTGCGCGAAGGAAAGCCTCCTGGCAGAAGTTGCCCCTAGTAACGATAGGACACACACCAAGATGTCCACGGCGAACTACCTGACCGCACATGCATGTCTTAATGGCCTCCGGAGGATGGCCGAAACGTTGGTGATATTCGGAGAAATCTCCATGGCCAGAAACCTTCTGAATCCAACGGCCTAGAACGTGTTTTAGGAAGTTCCAGGAAGCCCTTGAATGACCAACCATCCCAAAGACAGGAAGCTGGATTATTCGCTGCCCACCATCGTTGCATGTCAAATGGCGGCGCTCGAGGAGATTTGGATTGCGCAGCATCTGAGTCTGAATAGTGTGCCACACCGGAAAGAGAGCGCGAAGGGTCTGGTTCATCATCTGTACCGCGATTCCTAAGGTCGACTTGATGTGAGTAGGGACGAGTCTGCCGCTAACGCTTGCTCGCATGTAATCTGGATCTAGTTGAACTAAGCCATATGCAAGCGAAGCAACTACTGCACCGCGGAAAATTCGGGGAGCTGCAATTGGAGGGAGGCCGCGGCGAGTGTTGCAGACTCTGGTGAGGAGACTCACTACTGAGGTAGTGGCTGATGCTCTTGCAGAAACTTGTGCTCTGAGGCTGAGCGCGAGCCGAGCGTAACTCCCAGCCACTTAATGGAGTGAGATGGAACAACATTCTGATCTCCACCAAACACGCGGATGCTAGATGTGTCCATCGTTGACTTCGTCGCCCCCTTGCCATGCGGCGGCGGAATGTACAAAGCATCCGTCTTCCTAGGGTCGATCCTAAGACCGAGGCCCCTCGCTTTCTCGCATAGCTCAGAAGCACGGAGGCAGGCGTGATATGCTAATTGGAAGGGTCACGACTCCATGCATGCTGAGCGTGGTCATCCATGTAAGCGAAGGCAGCACCTTGGGACGAATGGACAAGAGGGAGTGTGAAGAGCACGAAAAGAATAGGGGACCAGGGTGAGCCTTGAGGGAGACCAGAGTCGGTGCGGAAGGTCGAGCGAGCCCAACGGAAAGAGAACTTCGAGCAGTGCAAAAGTCTGCTGCTAAGCGAGCAATTGTCTCGAGGATAAACTATATAGAATCAACAATTCTCAGAGCCACGATAAGAATCCCCTCAGTCAGCAATAGAAACAGTTGTCACTAACGACTAATTACCACAGTGAGCCACATACCCTACTGCAACCAGGTCACAATCTTCGACCGATCTCAGGAGGTTGTATAATTTCCACACCTAGACTACAGTATTTTCAAGGCTGTACATAATAGAAGTAAATTATTGAGCCCGAAGACCAAACGATTACCTAAGTAGGTTAATAACACCTTAACTAATTTTTTTGCAGACAGTTACTAAATAATGACTACCCCACAATCGCCCTGCTAGAGCTAGGTCTTGTTACAGAGGCTAGAAAGGTATGCTTATAGACAACTAGATCTTCTATTAGTAGAAGATATTAGCCTGTTCTTCTGCGAATGAGACTGTTATAACGTTTTGAACGAGCTTTTTAGCCTATCCGACTATACTCGGTAAAATCCCAGGCCTCAGCCCAACCTACAGTAGGAATATAGAATCTAGGTACCGAAGATGGCTTAAGGACAAAAAACCGGAACGTACTATGATACTTCAATAAGTCTTAAGGCTTAGTTCATTGCCTATATGGTCATTGGAGACCAGAAACAAGCTGTTAGCTAGAAATCTCATGGTCACTGTATAGCCTTTGGTTTAACGACGCACATATGATTCATTGTCTTATGTAGAGTTATCAAATTAGTAAGCAAGACTATATCATAGCGGAAAAAGGGTATGTATAAGAGGTAGGGTAAGAGTTGGAGCACAGTATCTCTCCATCATATAGTAACAGCCACATATGTATCATATTGTGACTCTTTTGCAATTTTCTGGGATAGATTCGAAGGTAATAACCAGATTGCAGGACCTGGGGGTCAGGTTATCACACAGCAGTTTACGTGCTTTTACTGAGGTAACAAGTTCTTGATTGATAACTCATTCTATTGCTGACTGAGGAGTCCAAATTATAGCCCTGAGTCGGGCGGTTTAATGCACATATTAGACTTGGGTTACTGGTATCTCTCTTTTAAAATTCTTCCAAGCATTTTCATCACCGATTCCATAATTGTGGCAAAGGTGATAATGCGTTCTCATTCCTCATTATCCGCCTTGTTAAACACCCCATAGTCCCACTTTTTGGCTCTGGCGAGCGTATCCCATCGGCCGCGTTCAAGCCCACTTTCGGACAACTGTCGCTTCACATTCAGTCTTAACAATATGCAATAGTGTCAACGCCGAATACGAGCACACACACACATGCACAATATGTATATGTCGATCCACTCAGCCTATTGAGTGAAATGTGCTCGGGTCCAGTTCGAGGTTTATCTGACAAACAGGAGTTCTCCACAGAGTCTCAGATCACAGTAGCAGCCAGTTAGTTTTGCACAACTGTTTGTATTGCTGATTGGGGAGTTCCTCGTCCCCTCTCCCATGACCAATATATCTACCCTAATCCTATATTTCTCTCCTGATACCCGCTGCTGATCGTTATATATAGATATACACACATATATACACACTTATACATGTGCCATCCAGACAGGCTAACTGGCGCTGGGTCTGAGATACTCCAGGCTACCGGAGTGATAGAGAGGAGTTCTCACACAGTAAAAGTGACTTGCTGGTCACCAGTTGAGTAGACATCTGTTTATATTGCTGGCTGGGGAACTTCTTCGGCCAGATGCCCTCACCTAGAATCTATATACATCTCATACACCCTTATGGCTTCCCTTATTCCTTCCAGCTCAATGGCACAGACCGTTGAGGGTCAACATCCTTGAGTGCTGAGCATCAGTGCTTTTTGGCGTTGAGGAACTCCTCTTCCATGCAATGGGTCGTTGAGTGCGGATATTTGAGTTTCATGGGTCAGAATTCCCTTTCCTCCAATTAGTTGGTTGCACGGGAGCCACTCTTCTAGACAGAGCATCTGTTGGTCGTAACACACCAGCAGTGCTAATTAACCAATGCGAAACTGACCAATTGTTTAGATTATAAGGTTTTAAATTTTATTCAACTAAGTAATGCACTGCTGATAATGATGATTCTACTTTCCAACCACGTTCTACCCAAGTGGGTACTAGGCCGCGCCCAAGACCACAGTGGGCATAGTTTCTCTAGCTACACCTAGTTACAACATTGAATATTTTGCGCGAGGGAAAGCCAACTGGCAGAAACCTTTGCGTAGGTCAAGAAGCTAGGAGAGTATTTTATGTAGTCGGCGGAAGAAAAGAAGATTTTAACAATTAGAAAGCCCTCGTGGTAAAACAATCTCAGTTGATTCTAGTTCATCATCTTCGTCTGCTCTTGTTATAGGTACACAAGGGTGGGGACGTGGCGCAAGTCTAAGGGATGTGGCTCTAGTGTCAGCGGATCTAGGATCTCTTCACATTGGCAGAGTACGTTGACACGTCTCAAATATAGAGTAAAAGGCTTGCCAAGGCACGGGCATCTAGCCGGGCTGCCTCTACATTGCCCCAGGTGGCAAGAGGACACTCCGAGGTGAGCTACGACTGGGAGTGGGGGCTGGTAGCTGCCGACAAATGTATGTATATTTTTCGGCCACTACCTACCATACCTAAGGTGTACTCGGGTTGTGCCCACGGTGACGGCGGCCAAGAGGTTGCTAAGTATATTGCGCGGGGAAGAACCCTTGTTTGAGAAAACCCGCGCGTAGCTTGTGCCCGCTGGTCCAACTGGTCCGATTGACATGCAACGATGGTGGGCAGCGAATAATCCAGCTTCCTGTCTTTGGGATGGCTGGACATTCAAGGGCTTCCTGGAACTTCCTAAAACACGTTCTAGGCCGTTGGATTCAGAAGGTTTCTGGCCATGGAGATTTCGCCGAATATCACCAACTTTTCGGCCATCCTCCGGAGGCCATTAAGACATGCACGTGGGATCAGGTAGTTCGCCGTGGACATCTTGGTGTGTGTCCCATTGCTACTTGGGGCAACCCAGACGCAATTCGGCTCAATGCTCAAGCTTTCCACAAAACTTTCAATCCATACTTGAGACGCTTCAATGAGCTTCGCCAATATGGTGAGATCCTTGACCCGTTGACACTAGAGCCTCTCCCTATTCCTCTAAATCTCCCGCTCGGCTCCCCTTGACTGCAGTCAGTGCAGACGAAGAGGAGGCGTCAGAACGACCCGAGATTGTTATTCCACAAGCTCTCCCTAGTGGTTGATCTCCCTATTTTGTTTGTCGATTGCAAACGTTTGTCTCCTCTTCTGGTAAGCTACGCGCAGGTTTCTGGTAGTAGGCTTTCCCTCGCGCACAAGGGTTTATTTTAAGTAGTTATATTAGGATACCTATGCCCGCCGTCGCCGTGGGCACGGACCAGTACCCCGTCTAGGTAGAACGCGGCCGAAAAATAGAATCATCATCATCATCACGATTATCATCTAGGGTAGAGGACGATCTTCGGTGGTCCCTGGCGTTGATAAGCTTTCCTTCCCCGCCATTGGTTAGTCTCCCCGCCCCACTTAGGGCTTTCTTTTTCGGTTTTCCTTCCCTGTTGCGGGTACGTTGCTGGTCCGTATGCTGTAACACTTCTGATTGATCCTCATAGCCCACTCGACGTCTGCCCATTGGTCTTCTGCTA